TTTACCCCCTCTAGATCTCTTTTATTAATTTTAGTTTTATTAAATAAATTTATTATATTTAGATACACGAGCTCCAGATTCGAACAAATCAATAAGCATATTTATATACTCTATTCTGATCTGCTAGAGGACAACACAGATTATATTAAAAGACAAGATAAAATCCTAGTTCGTCAGCGAAGAATGGAAGTTAAGGAATGCAAGCAATATATGTGGATTATAATGTAAATTTTTTTTAAATTATTGTATACACTAACATATATGTATACAGGGTGTCTGATGCAAAAGTAGCCAACTTGAAAATAGTGGTAGATTGGGTTAAACTAAGGAGAAATGTCATGTGCCGCGGTACAAAAGTAACAATAGTTATCGAGTAATTAATTTGCACGTCTGAGCGAATGAGGATGCAGAAGACGGTAGGCCGGACTCGGAAGGCATTTAAGAAAATCGATCGATGAGCGGGAGGTGGAGCGACGCGCGAGATACTGCGTCTCGATAACTATCTCGATAACTATTCGTCCAGGCGCAAAATAGTACAGGACTTTTCTGTTTGTCTTAGTCCCCTCTACCTTCCCATGATCGGTCTTCAATATGTTGCGGAGCACCTTGTATAGTTTATTTAATTATAACTATTATGGTACAATATTACAGGCACGTCCACTTACAACTAAGCCTCATATCACACGAACTAAACAAAGTATTCAGTGTACAAATGTCAGTGCAAATGGTCTCTTACTTTGCGTTCATTGTAAATCTGTGTCGTGAAATTTATACAGAATATATAAACAAGAATTCAACGACATATGAATATGTTTTAGACAGCATGCTTGCTTATATTTCGGGCATCATATATAGCGCCATTATTCTGATATTAAACTACATCTGTGAAATTGTCTACAGTAAGGTATAGTAAAATAAAATTACTAATAAATTATTATCACACAATAAGCATAAGCAACTTATTTTGTCTGTATTAATACGTGTCAGATACTTTTTATTTAAATTATTTGAACTTATTCTAGATAAGACTGTTAACTTGGATATTTAAGTTTGAATTTTATATAAATATATTTTCAGGCTAACGAGACAATAGTAATTCTTTGCAAAATATCGAATAACAATCTCGCTGAAGACTTACGTACACTGGTAAATAATTACTACATAATTAAATTTTAACTATCCTATACAGTTGCTCGTATCTAACATTTATTTTACCATTCATTTCAATTAGACTCTACAATTTATGTCACAAGTAAAACAAACAGAAATTAAATTTGGCTCAGGATCTCCCTACTTTGGTTACGATTTCATTCGTCAGGTATGTCCTACATTTAACAAAAGTATAATGTATATATACATATACTTATTATATGTATATGATATAATACAATTATATTCAATCTTTCATAAACTAAAATATGTATATCTAACTATAAGTTAAAATATAATATTTAAATCATTTTCCATTTCGTTAACTATATTTTGTATTTTTTCATTGTAGTTTTTAAATTAATCTTTTAAAATTATTACTTCAATTTATGTAATTTAACTGTTTTTATTTATTAAGTACAATAAAAGTATACTTTTCAGTTCTACATGGCAATTGTGACCGTCTTGATGATTATGATACAGATGCCTGATAGATTTAATTACTAATTAGTAACACCAATTAAAATTATAATCGGTAGATGCACTATAAAAAAAACTTATCTGCAATATCTATGTTTTTTAATGTATGTATTTTGTAAGTCATGTAAGTCATCAAAAATAAAATATAAACATGTTACTCTCAATGTATTAATTTTATTTAAATTTTCCTATTAGCAAATTATGTCTTAATTTTCATTTTCTAAAAAGGAGTATTCTAAAGACTACAAGGAAGCATAAAATGGAACTATAATACTACTCTAAAACTGAAAAAGAATTATGTTATAATTTAGTCCTTATTCCGCTATCTTCATTCAACTATGTATAGTGCAAATTATTTTTTTATTCAGAAAAGTAATGTTTTCTTTAGCAAATCGATTTTTTAATCTACGTAAGTGCTAGCACAATTATTCCTGAAATTATTGATATCAGACCTTTATCTTTAGGTCATGTCAACATCAAAGTAATCTTCATTATCTTGTAGTGTCATGACAAACATTTAATACCTCAACGCGATATCCCTAGTTGAATCTCGTAAAGAAATTGCCATGAAGAATATTCAAGCACCAATATAATTACTTTCAATCGTACTGTGCTTATTGAGATATTTGAATATCTTCAAGGTCGGCCGAAAAACTATGTTTTATCAGTCTCTATATTCTAATATTATGTCTACTTTATTTACATTACCTATGAAATATTTCTTAAAAAATATAAGTTTAGCTTTCCTACAGTTGTGACAAAAGCAACAAAAATACATAGATAACGAATCTCTTTTAAAATTTATATTATACATATACAGGGTGAGTTATAACATTTGTCCACGAGCTCGTGAGAAGGTAGAACGGATCGAGATGAACAGAAAAGTCCTGAAACATTTTGCAATTTTCGCAATAGTTAACGAGAAAAAAATTATCAAAAATCGTCGTCTTTGCCCTGCCCACTGTCCAATTCGAACGCGTAGCGAGATGTGACCGCACGGCGATCGATATTGCCAGGCGAGGGATGGGGACGCGAGACGCGGGAGCGGCGACGTAAACAACTCGCCGGCAACTGCGCGCTGTCCCCCCCCTCCCCCCCTCGCCAGGCAATATCGATC